TATAAATTATATATTAATAAATATTTTTAAAACTATACTAAAATGCTTGAATTAAGTTTAGAAACTTGGTGGTAGATGGTGGGGGGGGGTTAAGGGTGAATTTTCGTATCCTCTCTTACCTTACTTATCCAAAAAGTGGTTAGCCCCCCCCCCCATTTAAAAATCCTGGCTACGCCACTGTATTAAGTTCAAAAAATAAAAATAAAAACTAAGAAAGTTGTAAATTTTGCAAAACAAATTACAAGATTTATGAAAGAGAAAAAATCGAGATCCTATAAATTAAAATGATTACATTTAGAAAAAAATTATCAACATTTTATAAAACGTAAATCAATTTATCAAATTAATATTTTATTAATGTATTTGTATTTAATATCTAGAGCATATCAGAGTGTCAGTTCCTGTTTATTCCACAATAAAATCGTTTTTATTTGTACGGAATTTATCATAGAGTTGCATCGACTATGGTAAAAAAAAGTAATTGTTAAATCTTCTTAGAAATGTTTTGTAAAATAATCAATTAACCGATTCATTCTTTAACACTGAATAAACTCAACAATCATAAATTATCCATCCTTAAACGACACGGCACTTTTGGTTTGATTTGACCGTTTGATCTTAGGAACGAGTAAAAACGTCGAGACGGAACCGTTTCTAATTGTTCTTTTACAAGAGAATTTATTTGTTCAAGACTACAAGACACTTGATTTGGATACCTACTCATTAACGTCCCGATCTTTCGTGTAAGCGGTTCACTGTTACCTAACAAGTCTTCAAGTCATATTTGGAACTGAAAATATAAAATTATAATTATATATAACTATTACATGTATAACATAATATTATTATATTATATATATTATATTATAATTATAATAGACACAAGAGTTTCGTCATAAATGCACGTGGTACTCAAATCAAGAACACACGAGTATCAGGGTCGCATGAGCTAACATCGTCGCCTTGTTTTAGCGCACATTTTCAAACAACACATGCCTCCAGCTGCGAGCGAACGAACACGACCGACATTCGCACGAATTACGAATTACGCGACCCGAGTACAACTAAACAAATAAAAAAAAATATATGTATTATATTATATAACGAATAAAATTGACATTGTCTAAATTAAAAATTTACGATACGTCGTACGCCGCTCGGGGATAAGTTCAATATATATTAAATACTATAAGAGTAGCAATGAAATTCTGGAACGAAAATACATTCAAAACGACTTATCCCGTCCTTTGCCAGAACGCACTTTTGGAAAATGAATTAGGAATGCAGACGGAATTCGGAGTGCAAGGTTTAGTGTTTGACCTGCAACCGTCACCTCTATATAATACCCTGATCAAAAAGAAATCAGGTGAGCCCAAGACATAATCGAGCCAATGGAAGTGGATTTGGTTATTGCTGAGCCAATGATAAATCTGGCCACAACCGATCCTATGGAAATATACCTGACCATAACCGAGCCTAGAAAAGTGGTCTTGGGCATAACTGTGTCTATGCAATGCCTGGGGACTTGTAAACAACAGAAACATGTGCAATCCAAAATGTTTACTACCATTGCACAGGCATATTAGAAAATAGTTTTTTAAAATATGAAATTATATTTTGTTGGTAATCTCATAAACCACTTATTCAATCATCTCTTGGTGGTTTCTTTTTAACTATTATTATTATAATTATATACCTTTATTTTTCATCTATTTATTTAAAATGTTTCAGTACATTATGTGCTTTTACAATTACAATTGCAATTAAATTGGTTTGTTTTTAAATTTATACAAAGTAATTAAAATTATAAATTTATTGTTCATCTTTTGATGAGAGTTCCTCAGTATCCGTTAAAAAGATATCTTGGGGCAGTAATTATACACCTTAATATTATTTATATTTCTTTATTAATATTTAATTATCTATATTTTATTCATGGGGTTTCATGTTTTCCGTCACAGAACACCAAACTGTCAAATATAACTACCAATCAATTCAAAATAAGTCAGAATGCCATTGCTATGCAAATTTGTAATAATTTATAGGTAAACACAGGGCGTAATAATATGATTTGGCTCCAGGGCTGTTTGAACTATAGCTGCGACTGTACGCCACTGTTTGTATTAACTGCTGTATATATTTTTGTGTACAAATAATTTTTTGAAAATGTATAAGTATGAGAATAAGGACTAAAAATGAAATTGAACTAAATTTAAATTTAAAATATTTAAAATTTAAATTTTGGAAAGTAATGGAAAATAATGTTTATAAAAAATGTATGGAAAATCCTAGAAAAAAAAATGGTTATAAAATTAGTAATAAGTGATTGAATGATGAGCATGATGTTATATCATAGAACTTAATTTTAAAGATTGTATATTTTATTTCAATCATCTTATGTCGATTCACATGTATACATTTGGGTAGAATTATTTCACGAAGTGTAAATAAAATAGTATCTATATGAGTAACAATTTTACTTATGAAATATAAATGTTCTAAATTAATAATTAATTAAACGTATTGTGTTTTTATTTGAAAAAAATATTAATAATTAAGTTTAAATTGTGTTATGTTTATAAGATTTTAACTTAGATTTACTTTAAATTAATATTATTAATTATTGTATAATATTTTAATTTTATTGAAATCTGCTTCGATTGAGCTGCGTTCAAATTAATACGTGTTAATATCTAATGATGATATTCATGAATAATCTTTTGAATCAAAATCAAGTCATGATACACATGATTTATTTTTATGTTTTTTTATAATATCAATAAGAAATGTGTTCGGAAAACAGGTTTGTTTTTTATTTCTTCATTGTAAAAAAATCCTAATATTGGATTGTTAAACTATGTAATAGTTCCTAAATTATTGTTTTTAGACTTATATGTATGGAGTAAATATCTTAATAGTCCAATTCGTACTTAACCTTAACTGAATTGACGTTAATATTTGTGTTATCTTATTTTGCCATACATTTTAAATTTCTGTATTTTCTTATTATTTGTATTATATATTAATCAGTTCTGGCGCTAGGGGAGGACAAATGGGATATTTTTCCAAGGCCTCGCGCTTGTTAAAGGTGATTTTTAATTATCATCTTAATACCGTGAGACACATTGACATTTTATACCAAAAAATTATAAATCTATATTATGCCTATCATAAGTTATTTGGAAAATGATATCTAAATTTAGCCATAGTACAAATTACAAAGTAAATCGTTATCGATACAACGAAAGCGTAATATTTTGACGATACTCGTCGAATAGGATTCCTACAATAAATAATAATATAAATATTTATTTTCTCTATAGTTATTGATGAAAATTCGAAGAAAAACAGTATTTTTTTTAAAAAATCCTGATTTAAAAAAAAAGCTAGAATTTCGCCCCTCTCTGAGAATCTAAAGGCTAATACCCATGTCCAGGGCCCCGTAATACCTAGCACCGACATTGATATTAATATTTAATCTAAGCCCATATATGTTTTTTAAATATATCTACCACAATTAAAGTATACTTAAAATCATAATTTGTTTTTGAATGCACTTACATATCCATGAAATCAGCCTGCTAAAAATTATATTTAAACCTAGTTATAATATTCCGTTGAGGAAATATTTTTCTTGTTGTGCGATGTAGGTAGTTGGTTAGCAATTTGTTCTAATGCAGTCATTATACTATTAAATTTCATTCATGTATATCTTTTAAAATGGACGTCATTTAGTTGTTTACACTAGTATTACCAGTCCCTTCCGACGATGTTAATAGATAAAGCCTTGAAATTATTTCATTTGGATCATCGTACGACACTATCTGAGTGAAAGATGAGATATCGCGACTCGACTGTATAATCCTAACTAAAATTGTTATTAATTAATAATATTGTGAAAATATAAATGATTCATTATTTATAGTGTAATCAATATTTTCCTTAATTTTTTTAATTTTCCTACTCGAAAAATGCTTACCAAATTTAAATAAATCTAATATATCTTATGTAGTTTGTTGTAGTACTGATTATACGTTTTTTTACATAGGGCACGGTGTAATTGTTTTTCTAAATTCAATTACATTTTTAGTTGATTTTTTGACATAGTTTTTAGCAAAAAATTAAAAAAGAAAATGTAGAAAAGAACTGAACAAAAGCGTGTAAAATTCATAAAATCCGTCAGCAGGGACATCACTTAATTTATGACTACACCTAGCAATGAGATTCAACTCTGACTGGATTAGCATTACATTTCTCATTTTTTTAGTTTTATTTCCACTATCGTATTTATGTACATAAATATATAGATATATATTTATAATATATATCTATATCTGTATATATATTTATAATTAAAATACTGCATATAATACTTCAAAACACATTACGCGTCAACAAACAAAAAATGTCGGAATATGACCGCAAATTCGATTTTGCCGCGTTCACTTAGGGGATAGTCACACAAAAGTTTTGTAATATTGTTCTATTTGAAAAAACTATTTGCCTTAAGATTTCCGTGGTCCTTTAGATGAAATGTTATAATTTTAAATTTTAAAAATATGCTATGAGTGCATTGCACACTAGGCGGTTTATCTGAGCGTGGACGCGATTAAATACTTCTGTGGTTATTCGCTGGGATTTAAACAGTTATCATTTAATCGATGTATTCACATCAGAAAAACGATTGCGCATGTTTAAATTTTAGATGAACGCTCCCCATTTACACCGTTAAAATGTAACACATTGTTTTGACTGGAACTATTCACACCAAACGTTTTATTCGTCAAACGTTGGCATTGTTTTGTTGGCAATGTCGATTTAAAGTCATATTTATGAGCAAACAAATCGACCAGTGAGCAATGACGTAGGTAATCGAAATGCATAAAAACGTAAAATAGTGCCGCCATAATATCACTCACTTGTTAACACATGATAACTTTCGCTTTTTCTTCCATGCCCGTACAATAATGCTGTATTTGCGCACCAGCGTTTCCACCAATTACTATCCCGTGCAACACAATAACAATTGCACAGAGCGTCGAAAACGTTGTGTTTGTTCGCTCGTTTTGCGCGTCAACCGTGACGGATAGAAACGACATTGGTAACGTTTGAGTTTTCACCGTTCTTTAACTCTAGGTATCTTGATTGTTCAATCAAGATTGTTCGAAGGTATTTTTTTTTTTCATTTTCCATTTGACGTGGTTTCGCGGTTTGGAATCTGGTTCTTCCCACGAATGAGATCGTAAAACCATGGACCCAGCGATAGTGTACGAAGAAATACGTTCGATGCAACGTAAAATGGACATCATGGATAAGAAAATGGACAAAGTCGACCGTCAAAGGGTCGAAACCAGTGGTCAAATGAACGCGATCGCTATCATGCTGAGAACGATAGACGACACCTTGCGGAAATCCGCGAACTCTATAAGCCTCATCGTTCGGATGGTGTCCGTAAGTTATCTGTATTGTAATACGAGGCATATTCGAAAAATACCTAAGGGCCATTTTATCATAAAAAAATGATAACCTTATGAAATAGGTTTTATTAGCATATTTAGTTTCCTACTAATCATTTTCACTTTTCCATATAATCGCCGTTTACTTCTAAGCATTTTTCGTACCGCTTCACCAGCTTCCTTAACCCATCTGCATAGAAGCTCGCCGCCTGCGAGTTAAACCTGTTTTCAACGGCGTTCTGAAGTTCCTTGTCATTTTCAAAGCGTTGTCCACCAAGCCATTTTTTGAAATGTAAGAAAAGGAAGTAGTCACTAGGTGCATGGTCGGGACTGTGGGTAGTTAAAAAGTTCCCAATGAAAATCTTGAATTTTCTTTTGGGTCTTGGCTGTAGTGTGAGTACGTGCATTGTTGTAAGGAGAATTATACCGGATTATACAGTTTTCCACATTGTCGATTTTGGATTGCATGTCTTAGTTTATTGAGTGTTTCACAATACACATCAGCTGTAATTGTTGTCCCTCATCCCATAAAATCAACCAAAAGAATACCTTTTTCGTCCCAAAAAACGGCAGCAATCATTTTTTGACTCCTGTATGGAGTTTAAATTTTTTTGGTTTTGGTGAAGTTGAGTGGCGCCATTGTATTGATTGCTGTTTTGTTTCTGGATTGATGTAGGATATCACCGGTAACAATGTGGAAAAACAAATCGTCTCCATCTTGTTGGTAATGGTTCAAAAACTTTCATCCACTGGACATTCTTTGCTCTTTGTGCTGGTCAGTGAGCATTTTTGGTATCCACCTTGTACACAATTTGTAGTATCCAAGTTTTTCTGTGACAATTGTGTAGACAATAGTGGGTCCAAGGTTAAGAAATTCATCAGCCAGGGCACTAATTGTCAACCGACGATCAGATCGCAGTTTTTGGTCCACCAGAGAAACAATTTCATCGGTTTGCCTACTGGGCTTACCACTCCGCTCTTCGTCATGAACATTTGTTTTTTGAAATTATGACACCATTGTCTAACCTTTCCTTCACTCATTACAGTAGGTCCATAAACTAGGCATAACTCGATGAATTTCAGCAGCTGAAGATCCTTTTGCACACAAAAATCTTATTACAGTGTGAACTTAACAGCTGGCGTGAGCAATGATTATCGCGGACATTGTTTATTGTACGCACAACTAGGAAAATTACTACTGAATCAAAACAATGCCTGAAATAACTGCACGAGTAGTGCACGTACAGATATGCACAAGTTTAAACGTGTTATGACTTGTCAATTTTGAAATATAACAAACGGCCTTTACTTTTTGAATATGCCTCGTAATATCAATTGTCAATGGTTGTGTTGGGGACATGCACTTTGCGAATAATTGCAGAGTGTTGTCATCCGATGCACAACGGTTTCTACTAGCTTTCTATGACCTGAGTTAATAATTAAAACTTGTTTTTTCAGGGTATGATAGATTTGTCATCTTCTGATTTAGGCAAACTACTTCTTGAAAACAATGCTCTTTTAGGACATGTGCAACTGAACCCGGATTGGAATTCTGAACTTAGCCCTTTTGCCGGTTACCCACCTATGCATGCGTTGAAATTAATGCTTACAGAACTAATTCAAATAATAGATAAGCACAGACTGGACAATTTCAAAATTCCAAGTGAAATAGTTCCAATCACTGCACCATCAGTTTCTTGTATAACAAAAAATACTATTGTATCATCTCAAAATGAGAGTTCTACAGTTTTACCAGTTATGACTGAGGAAACCAGTATGTTATCCAATACATCATCTCAAAACAATAATTCTGAAGTTCTACCTATTATTTCTCAAGAATCTAATATGGTATCACCCTCTTCAAATATAACACCTTTACACAACAGCATTATTTCTAATTTAAAAAACAAAAATGAAGAAGATGAAGGAGCTCTTCGAAGAAAATATAAAAATAAATATAGATACTTAAATGTTAGTAAAGCTCTAAGCACTGAACCAAAGAAACACATAATATGTAGAGACAGTAGTTATATACCAGAGCCTTATCGAAATCCAATATTTGATAATGTTAAGGCTGTAAAAATAACAAATTATCGAACCAATAAAAGTGTCATCAAACCATTGAGTTTCATTCATCCACGTGTTGTTATTAATTCAATTGATGTTGCTAATTGTGCTGCCATTGCTCCTAGAATTAAAAAGTATGTATGCTACAACTTAAGTTACATAAAAAGTAATCTAATTTTGTAAATCTTGTATGATGATAGTGATAATGAAAATCCTCTTCAAAGTAGAAATCCATTAAATAATCGTTCTGCCAGTCACAATGAAAGTAAAGCTCTAAATAAAAGAAAGAATCTAAGAAGAGACACCAAAATTACCAAAAAAAAGTAATTTACTTTTAAGGTTGTTTTAATATTAACATTATTAGGTTAGTCGCTATGTGCATCATTTTTGGTACATAGTTCATTTGCCATTCGAGCTAACCCAAAAAGTAGTGAAAGTAATGAAGTATTTGCTACAAACCTAAAATTTTATGTAAAAATTTGATATTTTTATTTTAGTTAATTATGTGATTATAAAATGTGATTTTGTATCAAAATTAATGATTCTTCAATTGTGTACCAAATATGGTACATTTAACCCTCTGAAAATGTCAGATCTAACTATAATTTGACTATTTACAATAATTCCGTTATTTAAGTAATATCGTTCGTTTAATAGTAACAATAAATAATACTATATTTGACTACTTGTTAAGTGCTGTTTTATAACTGATAATGATTTTATATTATTAATTGTAAAATATGGTAAATTAAATGTGAAATGTATGCGATATTATTGTCTACAATGCTTTTTATCGAACCAATATTATATAATGTTTATACATATAATGTAATATAAAGTATAACCATAAACAAAATTAAAATAACCTTTAGTAGTATTTCTTTAATAATTACAATAAATTTATAATATTAATATAAACAAATACATCATTTAAAATTATTGTTTTTTTAAAAAAATGTTCAGCTATAAAATTGAGTTCATAAGATATCAAAAGGCTGATTAAAAACTTATTTGCCTGGTGGGCTATGAAATATTTTCCTGTGTTTAAATTATATTTATGTGTACCATAGTAGGTACATATGACACTTTTTGGCAAAAACTCCAGTGTACCAATAACGTTATACAAAAACTTAATGGCAATACAATAAGTGTACCAAAAACGAAACACATAGCTCCTCAGGCAATTTACTGAAAAATAATGTAGCGCTTAACCTGTTAAGTATATTCTCCATGTAATGGTAGCACATTTACAAGGTTTACAAGTTACAGTTAATATGAATATCCCATTCTTTTTGGTATTCAACCCTTAAAGTTGATTTTGCAATTGGATATATAATTTCCATATTTTTCTGTTCTCAACTAACCTTTTCAGTTATGTATAACTTGATAGTCCAGCCTCGGAGATTATTTGTTTGATAAATGAAATTCTTGGACATCGTCGGTCCTTTTTACCTTCAATAATATTCTATTATAGTCCCATTAAACATAATATTGTTTTACCAGACAGTCATTAATACAAAACCAAATAAGTACAAGCACTATTTTGATAGTAGTTACTTAAATTAAGCAATAATACTTTATAGAAAATTAGAAATAAATATTGATAATTTGTTTAACCACTATCAGTATATGACAAATATTTAGGATGATGTAATTACTGCTTAGTTATTGTATCGCACATATCAATATATAAAGATGATATCGCTAGAGCTATATGACCTTGTTAGTTTTTACTTAATATTATTTCATCTATTTATATATTAGTAAAAAAATTAATAATCAACATTTACAATATTTATCATTTGATATTATATTAACATCTTCTTTTAAGAACTCAACTGCTTTAAAAGGGTGTACAAATTAAGAGTTATTAAGATGATGAGTAACATTGTATGAATCGTAATTGATTTTGTATTGATTTCCAAAATTTCAATAAATAAAATAGCCATAGTGGGTAAAGAAATATTATGAATGAATAAAGATATGTATGTATTGTTTTCAGAAATATCAAATTTAAAAAACAAGTTATGAAAACCAACAGAAAATCATTAAGAATAGCCATCAAAAAAAAGAAATCAACCTCAAAAGACAAAGACCACATAAAAAATTATTACAATAAAAGTGTATGATTTTTCTGATCATAATTATATTTTTCCTATCCATTGTTTGTGCTTTTTGCTTATTTTTTTTTAAATATGTATATTTATTAATTAAAATTTAATTTATGAAAAAATAGATTTCAACTATATCATTTTCCATGATAGTTATTTCAGTACCAGAAAAATATTTTTTTGATATTTTTGTTAACTGATCATAATAATCATTATGCTAATGATCTTTAATATGCATTATTATAACTAAAGACCGAATTTATATGCATTTTAAATTGTAAAATATGCATGCAAACGTGCACTAAAAAAAGTCAAAATATGCAAGAAAAAAATGCAAAATATACAAAATAATTTTTAATTATACAGCTATTTATTTATTGTAAAGTTACAAAATCAAAGTATAAATTATGGAAATATAAGTAAACTACAATATTATATTATATAATGATGATAAAAATGAATTAAAATGAAAAAATATACAATGTATTCGATATTGGAAAAACAATAATATATTCCATATTGACCTCGGTTAAATTATGACGGTGATTTGTGAGAATATGTTTGTATGCAGAAAAACTTCGTTCCACATCAACGCTTGTTATGGGTGCATATCTAAAACTCGACAACATTTCTGGGAAATAATGTTTGATAGAGGAACTCTTCAAGTCAACAGTCTCACCTTGGTGTATTTTAGCGATTTCTTTTAAAATTAGCAAGTTAGCAAATTAGCAACACTATTGCCGAATGTACGCTTCGAACTACAGTCATCAGGCTATCAGTTCGTGTTCTGTAGTATTGATGATAAGTCGATAATGTGGACAAAATCGATAAGATAAAAATATACTACAGAAAAACCAGTATGCAATGAATAGTGAATACCTACCTAACGAAATATTATATTTTTAAAAATATTTTCAATTGTATTGTGGAAAAATTTATATATTTATATAAATTTATAATAATAATAATTATAATTATAATTTATATGTTTAATAGTACATACAATTATAAAATTAAATTAAATTTATACTTAGTGTATATGTAATATGCAAAAACATGCGTTTTTATGTAAAACTAGCTGACCCGACAAACGTTGTTTTGTCATATAAATTATTTCTAGAGAATATTTTGCTAGAAAAAAATAACTAATTAAATATAGGCATGTAAGAATGTGGGTAAGGATAAGGATGTAAGGAAGAGGTATGGAGTGCTATGAATGGTGACGAAATATAAAAATGAAAAAACATCAAACATTTATTTTTTTAATAATTTATTAAAATTGATCCATTAAAATTATATATATCGCTAATTACGACAATATTAATAAAAAACAATATCTATCTCTTAATGCAACAGAGTGTACAATATTTTTTGTTATCCCATCTTTCGCCAACACAAACTGGATGGTTCGAGAGCACACCACGTATAATTATCCGTGTGAAAAATATGATGTGCTCAAATCTAAGCTACAGACATCGTTTGGCTTTGAAACTTATTGATAGTCATTGCAAATGCCAATCTAATTGGAAATTTAAGGCGTTTAAATTGTATTGGCACATCTATGGGTATAATAGAGATTCATGGTAATAATATATTTTCACCTCGGAATTTGCCATTTAAAATTATGGCTTCGATAACATTTTACATTAATTTTTTAACGACTTACCACGAGCGTGCCGCTATACAACCGTGATAGGTCAAATTATGAAGCAAAATAACCGGAGAACAAACCTTCAATTGTAAATTATGCGATGGCATGCCTGGTAAGTCCAACGAGTTTAAAAACTCTGTTAGATAATTTACAGCTTCAGTAGCATAACAAACTATATCTATAGATTTGTATGACACCATGTCTCCTGGTAACAAATGTTTATCTTGAGATTCAATTCGTTGACGTCCACATTTTTTACTACTGAAATTGCCCTTTCTGCCAGCCATTCATGATTTGTGTATTGTCTGTGTACGTTGGAAAATATCTAGTCAATGAGAGCATCTTGCGAATAAATGATTGTGCAGAAATCGGTCGGTAATTTTATACATTCCGTTTCATCTGTAGTAACTTTCCCATCTCCAATATCTAATAATTGTTTTGAGAATCATCTGCACGCAGCTTTTTTTGATTGAATCGCAAGTATCAAAATCGTTCGCTCTCTATCTTTACATACATTTCGACCATGAATTGTTGACGAAGTTCATGATATCGTAGAATAATTTTGTCCTGGTCGCGTCTAATCATCAACCGATATGCATAATAATTTTTCGAACTAACATTCTTATTTATTTTGACACCTGTTGCGGGATCTTTTTTGTTTAATATTTATGCAATACCCGTCATTTACTACCAAAAATAAAATTAATAGTTTTTAAATAGTTTTTTAATAGTTTTATTTAATAATTCATTTTCAATTGTGCAGTTATTGACCGGGTCAAAAATTATTAAATTAAACTATGATTTATTAAACAATAGCACTTTTCCAAAAAAAATTTTCGTAAAAACCTTCTCCTGGCAATTACGAATAATTAAAAAAAATTTGAGTTAAATCGGCCCAGCCGTTCTCAATTGATGAAAAGTTATACATTTTTGGCACCATTTATATATATATATATATATATATATATATATATAGATAACTAATAACTAATTATTTATTAACTTAATCGGACTAATTTTTTGCCTTGAACCTTCTCTTTGATGTCCTCTTTAATTTAAAAAAAAATTGCACGACGATTGAATAAGTAGTTTCGGAGTTTATCCCGAACAAAAAAAAACGACTTCATTTTATATAGTAGTATAGATATAGATATGCACTTATACCCAAAATATGCAAAAATATACAAAATAAAAATTTGTAATATTATTTATTTAAGTATGATTGATGAAAACTCATTTACTGCATGTAATTCCTTAAAAAAATATGAACATGCATTATATGCAAAATCCGGTCTTTAATTATAACATATTATGTTGTATTCAATGCATAATTTGTCATTTCTTCTGTATCTTTATTAATTGACTGGGATATACTCTATTAATATTTTGATATTAAGATAGCCGATAAAAATATAAAATCTTCAAAAAACAAAATTGATTTTCATAAACTACTAAAATAAAATTGCAATAAAGGTGCATGATTAGTATAATAATATTATTTTATTATAACTACCAAATATAAGGTTCAAATTTAAAGGTTCAAAGGTTGAAAAATGATCTAGTTAACCACCATATTTTTCCAAAATATTTTTAGTGAGTAATGTATATTGTTGTTCATCAAGCTTTATTATTTAAACTAAAAACTTAAAAATAAGAACTTAAGAATAATTTAATCGTTTCTCTAATTGGTGTAAAGAGAACCACTTGAAAATTAATATAACTAAATGTGCCTAAATATCATTTACCAGGAAAAAAGCTATTTTTATATAATTATTTTTTAGGCAGCCAACAAATCAAAATAGTTTATTCTATAAAAGATCTAGGTATTATACTATCATTTGATCTTACATTCTCTAACCATATATCATATATACATAATAAAGCAATGCGCATGTTAGGGTTTATTAGGAGACAATGTTAGGATTTTAATAATATTCAATGTTTAAGAACTTTATATTGGCCATTAGTTCGTTTAAATATTGAGTATGAGTCAATATTATGGAACCGGGTTTCATAGTAACCATTGGAATAATTATTTAAACATCCAATATTCCATTGGAACACATCACAATCTGAACACATAAATAATTTAAATAAATTACAATCCAACTTATTAAGATATTCGTCAAATAAATTTGCGACTCATTGTACTACTGATGAATTAGCCTTAAAATTAGGTTCATATACTTTGTTTACCTGGAGAAAGTTTATTGATATATCTTTTATTTATAAAATATTACATGATCATATTAGTTGTCCTGAAATCTTTGAGAAAATAGTTTGGTTGGTTCCTACATATTATTCAAGATCTAAATTAAGCTTTCATGAGTCTCTGCACCTGCAACTATATAGTTTAAATAGATCTTATTTTAAAAATTGCATTTTTTATTATCATTAAGCTTTTTAAATGTTATATTAATGATAAACCATAATATGTAAATCAAATGATAATTAATAATATTTGATGATAAAAAAAAAATCTAAAAAAAATAGGGAAGTCACCTAATTATTTGTTTTTAATTTTAATTATAATTCATATTTGTTTGAAGTATCAAATATTGTGTTTTACTTTATTTTATACACGTGTTATATTTAGGAACTGTAATGAAAATAAAATGTTACATCGAGGCTAAATATAATTTCAGCTCCTGAATGTTTTCAAAAAATTTGTATAACAAACATCACTTATTTAATTTTGTAATATGTTAATTGCTAACATAAATTCCCTCGATCCCACCCTAAATTAACCCCAATGTGAATTTAAAAAATAGGTATGATTTAAAATGTCCTGTATTTTTAAAAAATAAATTTGGAATCCCTATGTTAAAATTGATTCATCTTTTAAATTGTTTAGTAATTCAGTTTCCTAAATCGTCTTAAAATTGTTTATACTTCGCGACTTAATTTTTATTAGCAAAGTGTCTATATGACTTTTTACTTCAACGATAGACAAATTGGCTGTTTTGATACTTTTAATTGTATTAAAAAAGAGTTCACATTGAATTTGAAGAAATATTGTAAGAAGTGACAAACCGTCTAATATATATATATAGTTGGGCTAATTTTCTTTTATTTTTTTTTGTCGTTTTTTATCGTTTGTTTCATAAATGTGAGTTTTGTATATAATTACTACGACATTTTTTCGACCAGAATGTACAATAAAAAGATTTTAACAATAGTTGATAGTAATAAAAAAGTATTAACTATAAATGGAAATTGGGAAAATTGTTCACATATATTTAGGGCCGTCCCGAAGATAAAAATCAAGGGAGGGGTGATTAATATGAAAAATGCTGACTACAATTTTTTTACTCAATGTATGTAGTATAATTAGGCGAGTCCGTTTTCGACCAAAAACCGTACCCTTCCCTTTTCGA